AACAAAATAGCAGGCTTGGTGTGAAGCCGGGGACAGATTACGCCTCTGCAGGGTGTGACTGGGGGAGGAGGAGATTCTCAGGGTGGCTTGGTTTGCCTTTTCTCTGGCTGAAGCTTTGAGGCCCCTCTCCAGAGCCAGCCTGGCTCCCCACACATTGCCAGAGCTTAGGGGACTGCACCCCTACTCTGGTGAGCACCTGGCTAGGCAGTAACACCAGGCACAGACCCCACTGCCCTCAGCAAGAACACTGTCCCCAGGGTCTCAGCATCCCCCAGAGCTCAGATCCTATTGATGTTGATAGGAAGTGGGTGGACCACGCCCCCCCCAACCTTGCCTCCCAAGCGGAGCTGACTGTGGTCTGCAGGGAAGCAAAGGGCAGTGAGGCAGGCCCGGGAGTCAGATCAGGAACCAGGACATAAGAAGGGCACTGGCTTCTTGGCTACCCACTGTGCTGTCAGAGGACCTCCTGACCTGCCTGCCCCTTCATTCTGAGCAGAGAGTCCCATACAGCCAGTCCAGCATCCAGCATCATTTTGGGCCTACAGTGACCTCCTGGCTAAGTGGTTATGCTGAGTGCAAGCTAGCCAGAGCCACAAGATGACCCCAGGACAAGTTCTGGTCCAGATTCTATGTTGGGACAGCAGGTAAGAACTGTGCCCTGCCCAGGGGTGAGCCTGCTGGCAGCAGAGGACAGGGTCCGTATAAAACCCCTAAGAGACAGTGCGAGGGGACTCTAAGCAGGCAGCCCAGATGCTCCGTGGGGACAACAGCTGCACCTGCTGGTTTCCCACTGTAGCTCTGAGCTGAGCACGAGGCTGCCGAGCTAGGTCCTCAGTAAATGTGTGCTGATGTCGGTCTGAACAGCTGCAGATCTGGTGCTGCTTGCCTTGTTGAGGCCCTAGCATAAGGCCACAGCCCTGCCGGTACGGGGTATCGGGGGTCGGGACACAGGCCTCATTCTAGGTCCCAAACTCCAATGGATCGTCTTGGGCAGAAGCCAGGAGTCCAGACATGGAGGAGTTCAGAGGAATCTGAGGATGTTCGCAGAGGATGGAGGAGATGGCCTTGGCCGCACGGAAGTAGGTCAGGCAAGGGGCAGATGTTAGCCAGAAGCAGCAGTCCCCTCTGCATCTTGTGCTTGCGCTGTCCCCACGCCCTGGGGACGTCAGGCCTCATCTCAATAGCCCAGCTTGTCTCAGCTGTGCCACGGGAAGGTGAGGAGTCTACCTTGGCGGGAACATTAAGGAAGGAGCAGCAGCCCCTCTCCCGTGTCCGGGAGGCAGCAGTGATGGCCACAGAGGACACGGGACTTTTGGGAACAGGGATCACAACTGAGGGGTAGCCTCTCCCCCATGAAGATGCTTTCCTGGCTGCGGCCTGGGAGGACTGCAGTTTGGTTTCTGAAGAGCGTGAAGTGTCCGGTGGTGCCCGCAGAAGGCAGTCTGGGGTGGTGGCAACAGCACAAACTCTAGACACCAGCAGACGTGGCTCTCAGGCTCAGCTTCCCACCCCATTTCTAAGCTGGGGGGCCTTGGCCAGCTGCTGCACCCTGAACCCCATGGTGTCCTCATCTGCTCAGCAGGCGCCTCCCCCACAGGTGGTGATGAGATGAAGTGAGATGAGACACGCAGGCCTGGCACTGGTGGTGGTGGCCTTCACCACAGCAGAGAGCAAATCCAGGTGGAACCAGTTTGTTAAGTGGGCTGACACAGGAAATGGCTTTTTCTCATCTATTGTCTTTAAGAACTCCCTTTTGGAGCTCTGAACATCTTGGGGTAGATGCTAGAGTTTTCCAAACAGTTCTTTTGTTTTGTTTTTTAGCACCAATTTCAAGACTGACATTCATTCTCAGATGTTAAATCAAATCTTCAAATTCACTTCTAATCAAAGCTTAGCCTCTCCCCTCGGCTCTGGCCTAACATGTGGCTCAGGGTTCTGAAAGGGGTTTGGGGTTAGGGTGGTAATATTTGCTCTCCGTCTTACATCACTCGAGCCACTACCATTCTTTCTTGGCTTTTGCTGGTCGGGCTGCAATGCCCACTGTTAGACCAGGCATGTGAGCTTTCGTGGAGCCGATTTATGGGTCCTTGACCCCCTCCCCCCTTGTCCCGGGACCACTGTCCTGCCTCATTCCCTAAGTGGGTGCTGCCTTCTCCACCCTCCCTCCTGTGACTACCCCTCCTGCTGTTACAGTCCTCTGCCCTAGGTCTCTTCTTACTAGGGGCCCCTCCCTAGCAGGCAGCCCTCTTGGGCAGTCTCTTCTGGTCCCCTTCCAGTGACCTATGGCACCCTCACGCATCCTGGCATGGCAAGTCCTAGCAGTGCAGACTGCTCCCATGACTCTTTCCCTCCCCTGCCATTGTGGGCTGCCCCAGTCAGCCTCCCACCCAGAGAACTCTCCAGCACAGCTTCGGCCTCCAGGGGACACTGTCAGGCTGTCTGTTTCTCCCAAAACTCTCAACCATGCGTCTGCAGCTCAGTCAGCGGGCCTCTAGCTGGGGAGTGAGCTTCGGGTGAGGGGAAGGATGCCACAGCACTCCCCCCCACCAAGCACTCCCCCCACTGCACCATTCCCCTCCACCATCCTTGGATACCAGCTAGCCTTTCAGTACAGCCTGGGTGGGAGGGGGCTGCTAGTCACCAGAACTGTTTTGCTGTTTTAGTAACTCCAGCATGGATATGTCTAGAATTTCTCTTTATAATGGGGAGTAATGTACCACGCATTATCCTCAGCTTTGAGACTTTAGCTGAAAATCCTAAAGAACAGGAGAAGCTAACTCAACGTTCTTTTAGTTAGACTAAGTATTAATTTTCCAGGCTCAGGGGTTTCAATTTCCTTAGGAATTTATTAATAGCAAAGTGATTCCTCCACAAGAGATTTTGTTTTTCTCCACTAGTAGAAGCAGTGTTGTGTATACTGGTCTAAGCACCAGGGTTGAAGCCAGAAAAACGATGGCAATCTGTCCCCAACAAGCTGTAGGTCATGGCCCCTCAGCCCCTACTCCCTCACCTATACAGCGAGGGGTACATCGGAATTAAGGTCACTTACAGTTCTCATAATCTAGGGATTTTAAAAAGTTTTTATGAGTGCAAAAGACCTCACAAAACATATACATTTAATAAATTATATAGCTAACACACATGTCACTACCACCAAGGTCAACAAAACATTTTTAGAACCCCAGAGGTCCCCTGTGTCCCCTCCCAGTCACTACCCCCTGCCACTCCCCAGTGGAAACCCCAATATTGACTTTTATCCAAATCACTTCCTCACTTTCTCTTATAATATTGCCAGCCAAATATCCATCCCTAAAAAATACTTTGGTTTCGCCTGGTTTTGAATTTTATATTAATGGAATAATATAACGCAGAATGAATTCTTTTGTTCAACATTCTTTTTGTGAAATTCATCTCTGGTGTTGCAAGTAGCTGTGGTTCGTGTTTTTTCATTGCTCTATAGTATTTCCTGTATGAATAGACGATTGTTTAATAGTGTTACTGAACATTTGGGTTATTGATCTAGGATATTTTATAAATACACACACACTACCATTCCATATATAGCCATATAAATTCAGAGCTAATCAGCTCTTTATGAACTCACGAACTTGAGTTTGGCTTTAAAGTGTAGCAAAATCTCTCTGTCAAGTTCCTGGTTACACTGCTACTTTGGTGTTTTTCACTCTCTTGTGGCCAAATTCTGAATCTAGGGACATAATCCATCTTCCTCAAAGCAGGTATCTTTCCCCTAATTTGAGTCACTAAGCATAAAATGAACACTATGCTCAGGCAATTGGGCATTTCCTCCAGGAAAGGTAGAATATTAGCACACAGGCTTAAGGAATTTAATCTGAAAGTATTACAAGAAATATTTCCTATAGTCTGTTTAGGCAAACAGTAAGCCAAATGCAACAAATCCTTCTCCACCCCTTTCCCAGGGCTGACTCCACTCCACTGGCATCACACAGGTAGCCTCCCGCCATAGGGAACGGATTAAACAGGGATGCCCCTCGCTGCCAGAGGGGCTGAAAGGTGCTTTGGGGCTGCTCAACTGATACGTTTTCAGCTCAGACTTCAAGCAGCAAGTTAATCTTCCCATCAAGAGATTAAACCCCCCTCCCATAACCAGAGTCAGGCAACCGTGGGTCCCACAGAGAGACCACAGCCAGCAGCAGGCAGAGAGCTCAGGACAGAAGGGCAGAGCTGCCACCCTGCACTGCCCCGGATGCTGGGGTGGGCACACGGGTGGGCAGCCAAGTGTCCTACAGAAATCAGTCGATAAGGACTCCCTTAAAGCCTGTACTTTGAACAAGTGGGTAAGTTAAGAATTATATATAAGGGTCCATAGCAATAAGCAGCGGTGCAGGAACAAAAGCAATCCCAGACACACACCAAGAGCACAGGCCCCTTGGCCACAAGTGAGGGCAAGGGTGATGGATGGTGGTTCTTGGGTAAGAAAGAGCTGACACCCAAGGGCAGAGCCACACTCACTCAAAAAAATCCCTTTGTCAGCTCCATAAAGCTCTTTTCAGAGACCATTAACTATAGCTACCTGATCACACTCTACCTGCTTCCAGAGTGAACAATCTCAATTAAGGCAAAGCCCTTAAGGAATTCCGTCCTAACAAGACTGTCTCCCGGGTGTGCCACAGGTTACATAAAAAACCAATTTAGGGATGGGAATGAAGGCGCCACTTGTTGGCCTTGTGGGCATCTGTTTTGTGCGGTTTCAGTTTTGCGTGTCCTGAGGGTCCCTCCTGGTGTCTATCCTGCCCCACTTCGATCCCCTGAAGGGCGGTGTCTCCTCCAGCAGCTCCCGGGTTGCCGATCAGGAACCATTCCTGGTGCCACCAAGGGAGAGAAATGTCTAAGAACCGTTTTCCTCCACCGGCGTGGTGCCACTCAGGATAGGAGCCATGCCAGCACGTGCAAACGCTGGCCCCTGCCGGGTGGGGACCACCTGCTCAGCCAGGACCGCTGACCCTGCCCTGTCTCCGCAGGTTTCGGCATGACCACCCCCGCGACGGTGGGCGGGAAGGCCTTCCTCATCGCCTACGGGCTGTTCGGCTGCGCCGGGACCATCCTGTTCTTCAACCTCTTCCTGGAGCGCATCATCTCGCTGCTGGCCTTCATCATGCGCGCCTGCCGGGAGCGCCAGCTGCGCCGCAGCGGCCTGCTGCCCGCCTCCTTCCGCCGCGGCTCGGCGCTGTCGGAGGCCGACAGCCTGGCGGGCTGGAAGCCCTCGGTGTACCACGTGCTGCTCATCCTGGGCCTGTTCGCCGTGCTGCTGTCGTGCTGCGCCTCGGCCATGTACACCAGCGTGGAGGGCTGGGACTACGTGGACTCGCTCTACTTCTGCTTCGTCACCTTCAGCACCATCGGCTTCGGGGACCTGGTGAGCAGCCAGCACGCCGCCTACCGGAACCAGGGGCTCTACCGCCTGGGCAACTTCCTCTTCATCCTGCTCGGCGTGTGCTGCATCTACTCGCTCTTCAACGTCATCTCCATCCTCATCAAGCAGGTGCTCAACTGGATGCTGCGCAAGCTGAGCTGCCGCTGCTGCGCGCGCTGCTGCCCGGCGCCCGGCGCGCCCCTGGCCCGGCGCAACGCCATCACCCCCGGCTCCCGGCTGCGCCGCCGCCTGGCCGCGCTCGGCGCCGACCCCGCGGCCCGCGACAGCGACGCCGAGGGCCGCCGCCTGTCGGGCGAGCTCATTTCCATGCGCGACCTCACCGCCTCCAACAAGGTGTCGCTGGCGCTGCTGCAGAAGCAGCTGTCCGAGACGGCCAACGGCTACCCGCGCAGCGTGTGCGTCAACACGCGCCAGAACGGCTTCTCGGGCGGCGTGGGCGCGCTGGGCATCATGAACAACCGGCTGGCCGAGACCAGCGCCTCCAGGTAGACCGCCCGCCCGCGCGCCGGGACCCTCGCCGGGCTGCGGGGCCGCCAGGCGTGGTCCGCTTCACCTCTCTCAGACGCTGGCGCTTTCTTAATCTTTATCCAATAAAATGAAACAAAAAAAAAAAAAAAAAAGGTTTTTTAAAGAAATACTATTTGGCCAGGCTTGATGTTATCAAGGGCAGGTTTGGGGGAGCCTGTTTTCCCTTGTGAGCCCCCTCTTGGAGAACCGTGGCCCCCAGCAGATTCTCCCCCAGGGAGAGAAAAAGTGGCACCCTCCAGACCCCCAGCGGTGCATACCGCAGTGGAAAGAGTGCGGTCCCTGGGCTCTGCAGACTGGCACTAAACCCCGTCCCCATGCACACAAGCAGCCGGCAACCCCAAAGCATATGGTGCAACTTTTCGTGGCTCTGAATTACCTCCTCAGCATTTAGAATCCTGGCCCAGCCTAGCAGCTTCCTTCTGGTCGTCAGAAGTGATATAGTCACAGTTTTGACAGGTGGGGGTGGGGAGAGCCATATGTTGCCTCCCGATGTATATATATAGAACAGCCACTACACACAGAGAATGGTGTAGTATTATGCAATGAGACGAAACATAGCACCAACTCGTGGACTGTGGCATTTCCCCCAGATTTGGAAATTGCAGTGGTGAGGGGCTTAGCTGGCCTTTCTCAGCCTGGAGTTAGTCCAGTTAGCACAGCGCACGGGGCAGCTGCTTGCAGCGGCAGAAAGCCCAGGGCGCCTGCAGGGAGGGGAGTGGAAGGCAGCAGGAACCTACTCTGCTTCAGCTGCTGATCTCCCAGCTCCTGCACATCCTGAACCCCCTAACCCTCCTTTCTTCCACAAGTGTCACCCACAGCGATGCTTTTCATTATTAACCAGGAATATGTGAGTCCTCTCAGATAAGCTTTTTCTTTGTTGGTGTGGACTACTTTTCTGTTAACTACCATTGATCAGTTCAGACATTTTCCCCTTTTACAGAGCCCATCCTCCTCCTCTGAGTCAGGGCTTTGCCAGCTCTGTCCTCAGCTAACCAGGGCCTGTAGCACTAGGAACCCCAAAGCAGCCACCTTGCAATGTCAGGGCATTTGGCTCCAGAGCCCATAGTGGTTAGGGGTCAGGAATGGCAGAATCCTATTCTATTAATAACTATTGTTTGCCAAGTGAATGTGTTTTCTCTATGCAGTCTATTGGAGGCAGAGGAAGGCAAGAGGAAAGGAGTTGGTGGAACTGGTGGATGGAAGTGACTTTAGGTTGAAAGCTTTGTTCTGGGTGACTAGCAGGCTGAGGGGACAGGTTTGCCCAGACTTGCCCTCTGCAGCACAGGGGTCCCCGGCCTGGACGAGTGCCAGATACCCAGGCTTCTTTGAAAAGATGCGGGTCTGGGACTGTAAAGGAACACTCTTTCTGCCCACTTTTGTCATCCAAAGAGTTGACATGCCAGAGTTTATTCAGGCCCAGTGTGACCCACCAATATGCACAGCTTCTGACAGGAAGTCTTAGAAAAGCACTACCTCTCCGCTGCCAGCCCGAGCCGTGCTGTGAAATATCTCTCTCTGGCAAACGCGCCTGGAACACGCACATGCACACAACATGCACACACACGCACGCGCACACGCTCAGCAGGAAGAGTCACGCTTGAATGTCAAACTCCTCTTTCCCCTTCCAATTCATGGCAGGAAGTAAAACATTAGCTGGGGATCTCAGTGACTCTCCGGCTGCTTTGGGCAATTTCTAATTTGGGTTGGGATTGGTTTTTAAGCACAGGCCCTAATCTGAGGTGAAGCCGGCGAGGCAGGGCTAGCCAGGACAGAGCTCAGGCTTGCTACATCCTGAAGGCCCGGAGCCTCTGTGAGCCACACCTCCGGGATTCACTGTGACTGTCAGGCCAGGCCTGGGAGCCCCCATCCGAGCAATGGCTCTGGTCACACTAAGGGACTGCACACTCAGAGGGGCATGTGTTCTCTAGGGCAGGGGCCTCTGACAGGACCTGGAAGTAAAGTGCCACACTTATCCCTTTAAAAGAAGGAACGATTAAAAAGCATCCAATTAGAGGTGTCACCTAGGCAACAGGAAATAACTTGGGGATCTGAGCCATCCAGAGGGGGAAGCAGAGATCCCCAAGATAGAGGCATCTAGATGGTGAGGACTTACGCTGCAGACAGAATAGCAGCTTACCCACAGGACTAACACAGGAGACCTGAGACCTGGCCATCCAGACTCCATGAATTAGACAGGCCTAAAGGGTGCCAGGTGATCCCCTGACCTGCGCATGGGACTGCATGCAATCCTATCTCCGTGGGAGGAACCAGGACCTGCCTCCGGAGAAGAAAAACTCAAAACACTCTTTGGCAGTCTTCTGTCAGCAGTGCTTCCTAGGGTCGATCCTAAGTTGCTTATGCTGCAGCCTTAGCTGTTTTCACTTTTCCTACGCTTTGGCTTTGGAAGGAGGCAATTGGAGGCAGCTTGAGCAATCTTGTAAAGGAACCATAAACATGGTTTGGAGGAGCAGGGAAGGAAGACCCTTTCCGTTCTCTCCCCACAATTTCCCAGAGAAATGCCAGTCCTCCAGGGTACAATGGTAGCTCAGGACCCAATGGGACATGTGTATTTTTGCCAGTGTTCCCCTGGTCCCCATTCTCAGACCCAATCTCAGTCACATTGTCGTGATACAACATGTCATCATCCTTCACCTCTGCCCGAAGGGCTCAGTACCCCAGATGCCAGCAGCTGCTGCCCTGAAAAGCTGGGGCTACCAAAGTCAGGGGACTTGATGGAACATTAGACCCATGCCTACAGGACATGAGGTCTGACACCCTGCTTGAGAGTAAGCCCTGAGAGGCAGGGATGGGTCCTCCCATCATTTCAGGAACAATGACATTAAGAGGGACCCCTTTCTTTGGCACAGGCTCTTCTGAGCCTCGGGCTAAGAAAGAGTTCCATCCTCCCAGACTCAGGGCTTCTCCCACTGTTGGGGGGGCTTCAGTCTGCTGCCCAGTTGATAGCTCACTGCAATCCACAACTCCCTCAGGCTCCAGGACCTGCTTCCTTAAGCCCACACTCACTCATCTCATGCTAGGGCTGTGGGGCTCCCTTAAAGGTAGAATGGGCTCTAAGAAGCCCTTGTCATTGGGGTGTGGCTTGGGGAAGCCAGTGTCTAGGGGAACAGCCAGGCCATCTCAGAACTGAGCAGAAAGGCAAAGAAGCCACCCTTGGCCAGGTGTGGTAGCTCACACCTATAATCCCAGGGCTTTGGGAGGCTGAGGCAGGAGGATCACTTGAAGCCAGGAATTCAAGACCTACATGAACAACATAATAAGACCTCCATCCCTACAAAAAGAAATTTAAAAATCAGCTGAGCACAGTGGCCCACAGCTATAGTCCTAGCTACTCAGGAGGCTGAGGCAGGAGGATCATTTAAGCCAAGGAGTTTGAAGCTGCAGTGAGCTATGATCTCAACACTGCACTCCAACCAGGGTGACAGAGTGAGTCCCTATCTCTAAAAAAAAAAAAAAATTCACCCTTGGTATCCAAGCTTGCTAAAGCCAGGTGGTCAGGCCCTTATGTCTCTGAGTGAAGCCAGAGTCTCCAGGCCTGGTGAAGGAGTCAAAGGATTAGGCAGTCTCAGGCTCTCAGTTTGTAGAAAATGCCAGACAGCCCTGGGCATTTGCACAGCATCATGTATATGTGTGTGCATAGATACATATATGCACATACACACACCAGCCTTACAAAGAGATATTAGCCCTTTCCTCAAGGAAGAAAATCCCAGTCTGGGCCACTTTAAGAAGAAAGATTTCCCACTTTTAACGCTCTAGAGATCTACTAGGGTCTGGGAAATTCCTTGGGGGAATTGTATGTCCAATTTGCATGTATTTGTTTTACACAGAAGCCAGCATCCAAACCCGACCGGCACCTGGAAAACAGCTGCTAACTGACCCAGGATCCTCCATCCCTCACACAGGCCTCCCAGCAGAGCTCTTCTTCCTGTGGGCTCTGGGGCGAGGGGTGACTGAGCCCTCACCACCAAAAGAGAAGCTTCCGGGGAACTGAGGCAGACAACAGCCCAGCTAGGTGGAAACCATAGGAACTACGAGCCATGCAGTTCGGTCTTACTGTAACTTTTTACATTCTTGAAAAACAAAAAGCACAATTCCACATGCACACTGTCTGGAAAACACATCCAGACAGACAGCTTAGGGCACTTCTGAGTCCAGAAGAGGCGCTGGGCTTTATTTGTTGCAGGGGTTGCTCTCCGGTGACTCCAGAGGAAGGGCCTGCTGAATCCATTCCTGGCCCCCAGGTGGGCTGATCAGCACGGACCTGGGGCCTGGACTCTTACCCCCAGCAGCTCTGGCACCTTTAGGCACCCCAGAGCACAACTGGCTGCACCCACACGCTAGTCTCATCATGCATTGAAGAGAAGCGATAAGATGCACTAACCTGGCCTGAGACCCTTTGCCCCTTTATTTCCGCCTCCCCCCTTCCCCCTTCTTCCCTAAGTAGGCTCCCCCTTGCTTTAGAACTCATTCTTATGCTACTGTGTTCTCTCAGGAGGGGGGTTAGAGCATGCTGGGCAAGCCTGCAGGGTTTCTTAAATAATACATCTATTTTTCTGAGCAGCACTCCGAGAGGACTTGAAGGGTATTTAAATTAACGATGAATAAAATGCAGCCTGCCACCCCTTTGAGATGTTTGCTTTCTGTCTGTCAGAGCCGCCTGCCTCCCTGTCTTCCTGTTCACACCTCCTCTCAAGAGCCCTGGAGACTTCAGCTTCCAGGATTGGGCCCGGGTGGTAGCTCCACTGGGAAGTTATTCCACAAAACAACAGTAACACCCATCTGACCCTGGGGCACCAGAGGGTCATGGGGGCAGCTTGGCCAGACTGGGCCTAGGCTGGGGGAGCTGGGAGATGGACCCAACCTGGCTGCACACTAGACTCTCCATGTGGAGCCGGAAGAGATCCTAAAGTCCAAGCTCTACTCTGGAATTCTGATTTCACTGGATTGAGGAGCTCAGGCAGGCTCTGGCACATTTTTGAAGGGATTCTGATGGGTATTGATGAACCCACACTATACACACAGAGCACTCAGATTATGGTGACATGGAAAGAGTATTTAGAAACCAGGACATCTGAATTCCACTTCTGGATCTGTCATCTTTTTTATTTTTTTGAGACAGGGTCTCACTATGTTGCCCAGGCTGGTCCTGAACTCCTGGGCTCAAGCGATCCTCCCACCTCAGCCTCCTGAGTAGCTGGGATTACCAGCAGGCTCCACCACGCCCAGCTACTTCTAGATCTGGCAGTCACCTAGCTCACTCTGATCCTCAGTTTCCGTTTCCCCATCTCTAAAATGGGATGATGACACCATCCTCCCTCCTCCCAGAAGCCTTAGGAGAAGTAAATGAGAGGTGCTCCCTTCCTGCCAACCACAGCCACCCAAAAGCATGAGCCACCCCTCTTCAGTCTACGACAGGGGCTTTCATGATGTCACACGACAAAATGGAGTAAGAATCTTACACGATGTGTTGTACAGGCCATGCACTGTTTTCCATTCTGGTTCTGTTTTGTTTTAATGCTGGTCAAAACTATTATTGATTTCATGATCTGCCTATGAATCATACTCAACAGTTTGAAAAACACTGGCCTACAATGTTTCTGGAAAAAGGGCTTCCTCTTACCCTGCTTCCAGCTAAAACCCATTAGCTAGGCTGCAGTGGTGGAGGGGCCTGCATTCTGGTCGCCTACCAGCTCCCCTCTCTGTTGGGGTCTCTAGCTGTGCAGTGGACACAGGTGGGTGTTTTATCTACATGAAGTTGTCCAGATGATACTCAGCTTCAAGTTCTAAGGACTGTGATTTCTATGACATTTTAGACTCCCAACCGGCGATCCACGGATGGACTGTCAACCCTCTTCCTTCTATGGTCAGTTACCTTTCTATGACTATATCAAGGAGATAAGTAAAGGGGACTTATATTTACCAGACCGGGCCCCTGGACAAGAGACTTGCATATTTATCTCATTGAATCCTCTCGCTAACCCTGGTAATTTGCAGCTTTCTCCCCATTTTGTCCTGAGTCAGAGAGATCAAAGTAACTTGTCCAATTTAGGACCAGCCACCTCTGTGGCTAGAGAGACAGGGTGAGAAAGATGGGGCAGCTTTTGCTGGCCCTGGACTCCAGGCTTGTGGAGGTTGACAGGAGACAGGGCACTGCAGAGCAGCATGCTGAGGGCTCTGTGTCCACAGGCAGCCTGGGCAGGTAGGGGAGGCTCTCAAAAGGAGCTGTCCAAGCTGAGCCTGAGAGAGAGAGCTGCAGGGAGCCTGCCCAGCAGGAGCAGGAAGAACATTCCAGGCAGAGGAGCAGCATGTGGAAAGCAAAGTGGGGGCTTGTTTGGGGAACTGCATGTTGTTTTGCAGGACTGGAGCCTGCAGGGGAAGGGAGGTGATGAAAGACCAGATCATGAATGGCCTTGTAAGCCAAAGCAAAGAACTTTTGCTTAATCCTGAAGACAATGGGGAGCTGGTAGAGGTGCTTTAAGAATGCTTGAAGGCCGGGCGTGGTGGCTCATGCCTGTAATCCTAGCACTATGGGAGGCCGAGGCAGGTGGATCGCTCAAGGTCAGGAGTTCAAAAATCAGCCTGAGCAAGAGCAAGACCCTGTCTCTACTAAAAATAGAAAGAAATTAATTGGCCAACTAAAAATATATAGAAAAAATTAGCTAGGCATGGTGGCACATGCCTGTAGTCCCAGCTACCTGGGAGGCTGAGGCAGGAGGATTGCTTGAGCCCAGGAGTTTGAGGTTGCTGTGAGCTAGGGTGACCCCACAGCACTCTAGCAGGGGCAACAGAGTGAGACTCTGTCTCAAAAAAAAAGGATGCCTGTGATACAGAAGAGGACTGAGGCTGCAGGGCTGGAGGAGGAAAGGGGGTGGCAGGAGGGGCGCCAAAAGTAGTGCTAGTGAGAACAGAGAGATGCAGACAGATTTGAGAGACACCTGTGAGAGTAAGGAGATCAATAGAATTGATGATTTGGCTGGACATGGGCCATAAGACCAAGAGAGGAATTAGGAGGGACCCGGGTCTCAGGCTGAGCAGCTGCATAGACAATGGTGCAACCACCAAGCCTGGGAACACAGGGGAAGGAACAGAAGAGAGATGATAAGTTCAATGAGGGAGAAGTTGGGCTTGAGTGACCCATGAGACATCCCAAGGGGTTCCATTAAGCCATTGGCTAGAGTCTAGAGCTCAGAACAATAATCTAGGCTGGGCAAACATTTTGGAAGTTCTTAGCATCAAGATGGTAAATTAAATCACTCAGGCTCTGAGTGTGTAGACTGAAATAAAAAGGATCATGACCTTTTTTACCCACTTTTTTAACCACTTCCGTACGGCACTCACCAGCCGCGAAACCTTGCTCACAGCCGGCACTCAGAGTCCGCACGACAGTGTGTGCTGTGCATTGACCACGAATCCGTTTTGCTCTTGTGTGATGAGGAAAGCTTGAAAGCACTGAAAGCTTGTTTTACTTTACAGGCAGCTTTACTTGTAATGTAAATCAGAATAGGTAACATTTACATATATGTTTTTATTATGTTATTTTTAAATGCTCACAATTTTAGTTTGATAAATGAAAAACTAGAAAAGTCATATCACGGCTGTTGGCTAAAGTCGCTGTGCGCGTTCATCTGTGGCTGTCGACTACAGTGGACACTCGTACCGAAGTGGTTAAGGGACAGGCAGGAGAAAAAGCCAAAACAGACAAAGGAGAAAATGAGGCACATGGGATGCCACAGAGCCAACAGAAGGAAGGGTTTCAAGAAGGAACAAGTGCCAGATGCCACTGAGAGAGTAAGATGAAAAAAGTACGCACTGGATTTAGTGAAGGAGTATAGCAGTGACCTCAGCAAGAGCAGGTCCCGGGGGAGTGTGACGCTCTTGGGAACCAGGGCTACCACATCTAATTATCATGGGTCCCACATATTAGTTAGGATACAGATTCAAGCTGCTCTCACAGTGAATTCAAAGTAATCCTGGCTTTAGTGAGTAAAAGTTCACGTCTCTCTATTAAGAATGAGTGCAAGTATAACCTATGTAGTATATTGGATCTCTGACATGGGCACCAAGCTACTTCTTTTTTTTTTTTTTTTTTTTTTTTTTTTGCGACAGAGTCTCTCTCTGTTGCCCTGGCTAGAGTGCGGTGGCATCAGCTTAGCTCACAGCAACCTCCAACTCCAGGGCTCAAGCAATCCTCCTGCCTCAGCCTCCCGGATAGCTGGGACTACAGGCATGTACCACCATGCCCAGCTAATTTTTTCTACACATTTTTAGTTGGCCAATTAATTTCTTTCTATTTTTAGTAGAGACGGGGTCTTGCTCTTGCTCAGGCTAGTTTTGAACTCCTGACCTTAAGCGATCCTCCAGCCTCAGCCTCCCAGAGTGAACCACCCATGCCCAGCCCACCAAGCTACTTCTACCTGCACACATCACTTTTGTTCCCTTGCCATTGGCCAGAACTTCGTCACATGACCTAATGTAGCTATAAGAGAATCTGGAAAATGTGTTACTAGTTTTTATTCTAGTTGACCATGTACCAAGTGGGGCTAGAACTCTCAAGAAGGGCGGGGTTCAACTCATGTTCAGGCCACCAAGGGGACATTATGCAGCTGCAGAGGGACCTTTGAGGGGTCACAGTGAGGCTGGTGCCACAGCTGCCTGCTATTGCTGGACTGACTCAGACTTCAGCTAGAAACAGGAAGTGAGTCAATGCCGTTCTTTTTCCTCCCTCCTCCTGTTCCCGGAACAAGAACCCCCATTGGCAAACCCATTTGGAAGGAAGCCAGAAAGGAATCCTGGGAAGTGTGGTTTGCACACCTCTAGCCTCTGCAATGCACAGCAGAGTTCAGAGGCAGGTGTATAATGGCACATCACCCATGAGGACACCTGGACCATCGTGAAGCTCCTAGGTGCTTTCTTGACTGTAAAAACTGGAGTCTGGGTTAAGAAAGCTACATTCCCAGCCCCTCCTATTCCATTTTTGATGGCTTCCTACTTCATTTCGAGGGAAATGTTCACAGAAGGTAGGCTTGTAGGGTCACTAAAGAAAAGCTTAACCAAAAGGCAACAGACACCTGGTTGTGAGATTCATATCTGCCCTGCAGAAGTAAGCTGCAAGCAGATCTCTTCCTCTCACGAGTTTCCTTTTCCTCACCAGCAAAATGAAGGGCTGGCCATTTGGCTTCCCCGCTCTGAGGTTCCAAAGGGGAAGGGACGAGAGGAGAAAATGTAAGAGTTCCATGGGGATTTCCATCCAGAACCACACTCAGCAAACATCTGCCAAGCGCCTGACCCAGCTCGGATAAGTTGTTTCAATTCTTCCTCCTCCAAGGACTGGGAGGAGCAGGACCAGCCATCTGGATGCAGGATGGAAGGAAATGTCCTCTGCTGAGGACTGCCCAGCTTCCTGCTTCCTGCAGCTTCAACACACACACTCCACCCTGCGAGAACCTTCGTGAGCACCAGATCCTTGTTTTCATTTGTTTCTGCTTCCCCAAGAACAAGTGCTGTTTTCTAGAGTCTCACAATCCAATAGATAGCCACTAGCCACACACAGCTATTTAAATTTAAATGAATTTAAATTAAATTTTCAGCTCTTTTGTTGCACTAGCCACATTTCAAGTGCTCAATCACTGCATGTGGCATATGGCCACCATATTGGACAGCTCTTCTTCCCTATCCACTATGGAAACCCCTAACCTGCCATTCACCATGGGGCACCCATCCCTCTCCCACCCCCAGGGCGAAAGCATTTGATTACATGACTTTATACCAGTGTGGGTGACATCCATGTTCTGCGGGCATCTCTCTGTAAAATGGGAGCCCCCCCCCTCGCCACGGGCACCACAGATGTTAGGGTTAGAGATAGATTTCTTTGGGATACGTGTATGTGCACATATGAGGGCATTGGTCCAAATATATATATGCATGCACAGGTACACAAATATTTATATTAAAAGCCTAGTCCCATGAATTGCTGTAATTAAGACACAAAGAAAACTCCATGACGCTGCTCGCTTTAACTCAGTCACCGTGCAATGCTCCAGCAGACAGGGAACAAAGAATGGATCACTTGCTTGACTCTGCAGATGTAGGTCAACGGGGCCCAGCAAGGAGCTCACACAGCAGAAGCCAGACATCCTTCCTGCTAGCCCACAGCTCTGTCCAGTCCACAACAAACATATATGAGAACCTACTGTGTGCACGCTCTGTGCTAGGCCCCATGGAGGGTACAGAGTCAAGGAGACAGGAATCCAGTCCTCTACAGTCTAGGAGCTAGGACGTATCGGTAGGTGACCATAGAAGCAGGAAGATTGCAGCCGCATGGCCAGGTAGCCCCTGGGCTCAGAAAATCCTAGACAGGCTACTTCAGATTCAAGCCCCGCACCGAGCACTGGGTTGCTCTGTGCTTCACCCAGCTCTACTTCTCCGGCCCTTCCTTCCTTTCCTATCCTCAACATGGCAAAGAATAAGCCACATCCTTTGTTTATCAAAACCTCAGCAGGCAGTTGATACCAGTGGTAAAAGACCTCTTCCTCCTATACCCCATCCTCCCTGCTCCTCCACCTAACATTGCCCTGAGGCAGGTTCTTAAAGTCCTTTTTCTCCAAGCCAGATCACAGACCCACTGCATTCTGCTGAGTTGTTCACATTCCTGGCTTGGATCACAACCCCTGCAGTGAGAGCCTAGGGGTGCCCAGAGGCCCCGGAGCAGATCCTGGAGCCTTGGCTTTGCGCGTCCAGGGTGCTCTCCTGTCACCTTCTTCTGGGAACACTATACCTGTCCTCCTGGAAAGCTCCAGCCATCGGTGTGGTCTAGTGGGCCTGTCAATCTCAGGGTCCCTCCTGTATCAGCCAGAAAAGCATTCACCTGTAAGTAATGGAAAATCCAACAAAGGGTAGCTTAAAGGAATAGAAATCAGGGTTTTTTCTTTACTGTAACCAGAGCTCTGGCGCAGGTGGTCTGGGGCTGGTGCACTGACAGTGAGGCTCCTCCTCCTTCCCGCTCTGCCATCCTTTCCATGTTGGCTTGTCACCTCAGGTGCCAGATGGCAGCTACACCTCCACGGCTCACATCCACGTTACTAGCAGCAAGAAGTAAGGGAGAAGGCCAAAAATGTTCTCTCCTGACAAGCCTTTTCCTAGGCCTCCCTAGGACTCTCAGTTGGCATCTCTCTGACCAGAAGGATGTCACATGGTCGTTGCCACCTATGAGGAAGGCTGGGGATGGAGCGTTTTGCTTTCAGTCCTCCATATAAGAGGATAGCAAGGCAGAGGGGATGGGGTGGCTGTGGCATGAGACTATCTACAGCCCCTGCCGCCTGTCCCCACTGAGGCTGGATTAATAATCTGCAAAGACACAGCCATCGGTCCAACAGAGGGCACATGCCCCAGGCCAGGAGAGAAGCTTCCTGGCTTTCATGAATTAGAGATGGTGGAGTAGCCCTTTCTTGTCTTGGTTTATAAATTAGGCCTGGGTGCATCAGCAGAGTCAGGTTAATGCAGGTGAATCCAGTCTAGCTTGTTTAAGGAGAAAAAGATTTATCGCCAGTGTTTAAGGAGAAAAAGATTTATCGCCACTCTGACCCTGGCCACCTGCCTTGCACTGATGACCCAGCTGGGGGACATAATCCCAACTCGGGTATGTCACAGGGCACTGGATGCCACTGTCCCCAGGCAGGGTCTTATGTGCTCAGGAGCTACACCTGGACGCCGCAGTCCTGAGCCCGGTACCGTGTGCACACAGCAGCCCGCCTCCAGCCAGCTACTGCCTGCACAGCCGAAACGCTGGTAGCCAGTCAGCATCACCCAGAGATTTTGCTTTCCTGCTATGGGACAGAAAATTTGCGCACTTCTGGTTTTAAAAGACCTATCCCATTTCTCCTTCCCAAACCTCATCCTGAATAGCCTTCCAAGGCCCTGTCCTGAATCAAGTTTCCTGTTTGGCAATAAACTCTTTCACTCAGTGCTCAATGTTCTCTAATGGGCTTTATTTTCTTCCGAACCTTAACTATTAAATGCCCCTCCCACCATCACTGGGAAGGCTGGAGAGACTCTAGGTTGAGCTCTGGGCGTAACTATCAGGAGAGATGCACTCACAGAACCAGGTCACTTAGGGGATTGCTGTTTCTCCTCTGATCAGGAGGCAGCCCTTTTCAGATGCCACCATGATAAAGAAGCCAGTCCAGAAAAAGACACCCCCACTTGCTAGCAAAAAACAGCCGAAGCATGGGCTCCTCCTCTAATCTGCCTTTCAAATCTTGCTCAAGTGCATCTAATTTGCAGAATCTAGATCTCCTCCAGTTTAGTAGTTACAAGAGAGCCTGGGAAATGTAGTTTTCAGTCTTCTAGCCTCTGCAGTATATGACAGACCTTTAGAAGGAGGGTGGAGGAGATGCTGAGTGCCATCTACCAGATGCTCCCTGCTGCGGCTGTCAGTCAGCTGTTGTCCCCACCACCGGGAGCATCTTCCCACTGTGCCAAGGGAGGCAGAGGCAGGCCCCTGGCTGGGCACCTGCAGCTCTTCCTCCAACTCTGGGAGCTTCCTCCACTTTCTTCCCACCAGTGCAAACCAGTAACTCCACCCTTTGGTTGAGTTAGGTTTACTTGCAACTGAAAAAATTTGAACTAACACTGTCCCTTTTTCCAAAATCATCGCCTTTTTCAATCCTTGAGGGCTGAAATGCCTTTCACAGTGAGAGCAACTTTCACAGGAAAGTTCAGTCTTGGTTCAGCAGTGGCTCACACCTGTAATCCTAGCACTCTGGGACGCCCTAGCCAAGGCGGGAGGATCGCTCAAGGTCAGGAGTTCGAGACCAGCCTAAGCAAGAGCAAGACCTCATCTCTACTAAAAAAATAGAAAGAAATTAATTGGCCAGCTAAAAATATATAGAAAAAATTAGCCAGGCATGGTGGCACATGCCTGTAGTCCCAGCTACTCGGGAGGCTGAGGCAGAAGGATCGCCTGAGCCCAGGAGTTTGAGGTTGCTGTTAGCTAGGCTGACGCCATGGCACTCTAGCCCAGGCAACAGAGTGAAACTGTGTCTCAAAAAAAGAAAAGAAAAGAGAAGTTCAGTCTTGGAATACAGACACCTCCAGGAGAGAAGGTACAATGACATATTCACATTAAAGTGTAAATGACTCACAGTATAGCTTCTCCTGAGACCAGGTTCTGATAGAGCAGAGGGAGGGAAAAGCCTTGGCTCCTTGCAGATGGAGATGGAACCCCACCAACACCTTTCCCTTAAAAAGCAAATTTTCAGCCATCCTCCATTAAGTTTCTAACAAATGCTCAGTCTCCAGTGTTGACTTAATGTTTGCATGACTTAATGACAGAGTCTCTGCCAGCCCAACTTCTAATACTATTAACCAAGCACCCCAAGATTCCCAAGAGTCTCTCAATCTGTCTCCTTCTTCTGTGTTCCAATTGCTCTTGATTCTCTTCTAGCACCCAGAGCGTGGGACAAGAGGGCAAGAGGGAGATTTCTACTGGCTAGAAAGCAGAGAGAGCCTCTGTCCCAGGAACATGGAATGTCTGGCCCTCCCCAGCCCACTATCCTCTCCCCTACCCTCCCTAATAAGGGATTTTCCTTTTCATTGGCTAAAAATCAAAATAATAAAAACAGAAAAAGTTCTTAGTTTGACTTTTTTTTAGTCCTGAACAACAAGTTAATGGGAGTGATGCAAAAGCACTCGGGGTGGAATCAAGCTTTCTGGCCCCAGAAGTCCAGGGTCCAGCCTTCTCCTGGACACTGTGGTCCTCTGTGATGCCTTTCCCTGAAGGCAGTCAGCCCCCCACTGCCTCGCTCCTCCTGCAGCCCGACAGGCGGGGAGCTGCCCTGCTCTTCTCTGTACCACGTCTGCGTGGCTCATGCTGGCTGCTTCTGATGGGACTTACTTGCTTCACTCCTGCTGGAGAAATTCCAGAAGAATTTTCCACCAGCTCCCATTGCCCCCTTAAGCAGCTGGCCACAGAAGGAGGGAGCCGAGCACCACTGGCATTTCATTCCCTGTTCTAGTTCATCCACTGCACACCAGGGAGGCTTTTTATGTGGGAAACACCTGGACTAGAAGCAGATCTGCTGGGACCACTGGCAGAGAGCCTTGACTTTTTCTACCATACCAAGCCATAGCCATGGAAAAAGTTGCCTTGACCCCAAACCCAAAGAGGTTGCCACACTCCTGCTGTTTATGGGCACCTTCTCTTCTAACACGTCCTCTCCACTACTCATTTCAGTGATCCAAGCTCACCTGGAGGGTCCCACAGAAAGTTGCCTGGAGAGTCACCAGAGCCACAGTATATTTGTATGAAGAAGAAATAAACTTCTATGTTTCTAAGCCACTGAGATTTGGGGATTGTTTGTTACTGCAGCTTAACCTTGCCTCTCCTGACTGATACACACATTTTCCTTTGATGCTCTGTAGTTGTTCTCATCCTGGTTCCTAACTGTGTATTCCTTCCCTTGGGAGCTCAGAATCTCTGCAGGAACAAGAGCCAAGTCTTCACTTTACCATTTACTTGGGCAAGTCATAGCCTTGTTGAGGATTGCTTTTCTCACCTATAATGTGGAGTTTAAAATGTTAGTACATATTTCATCAAGACTTATGAGGATAAAAAGAGATAAATCATGAAAGTAGCACAATTTTTAAGAATTAAATCTCTTTGCTTCACACATCTCCATCTTCAACCCCCACCTCATCTTTTTCAGTGCCTGTGTCAGGAAGGCCACAACCAGTGCTTACTCATGGCCAGCTGAGAACAAAGTGACCAGCACATTACCTGACTCAAAGGCTTATACCCAGGAGGCATTAAAGGGCAACCCCCTGGCAAATCATTGGCTGCCTGTGTGGTGAGATTTCAGGGCATCTCTCCCCCATTTCATATCTCCCTTTCTTCACTTACAAAACAAAACAACATGACACTCCCACACCAACTTCTTGGTGCTGAAAATTGGTAAGACAGCCTGCTGTGGGGCCTTGGAAACAAACATGAGGTTCGAGTCCAGGCACCATTTTGGGGGTGGGCGTCCCCAAGACCACCCTGAGATTCAATGACTCACTAGAAGGACTCACAGAACTCAGAAAAGCTGTACCCATGGCGATGGCTCATTACAGTGAAAGGCTAAAGACTAAAGTCAGCAAAGGAAAAGGGCAGAGAGCAGAATCCAGGAGGAACCAGGTGCAAGCTTCTAGTCATCTTCTCCTAGGGCTTAATTCTACCAGCAATGATGTCACAATGCACAGAGCCCATGTTCTCCTCGACTTATGATGGGGTCATGTCCTGATAAACCCATCGTAAAGTTGAAAATTACAAGTTGAACAATCTGCATTGCCAGCAGGGGAAGCTTCCTGGAGCACATATGTAACTGACTTCAGCTTCTCATTCTTCAGTCCCTCCAGAGGTCAAACTGATACAGTGTGGCCAGGACCTCAAGGGAACATAGGCAGGTGTTTACTTTAAATCACATTGATAGCATACACTATCGAACATGGCTCAAGTTCTCAGTTGTCCAAAGATAGTCCTATCAGGCAGAGTATTCCAAGCACTTGGAGGTATTTCCCAGGAGCAGGTCAGGGGCCAGTCCCTTCTTCCGAACTTGCAGGGTGTGAGCACCCCAAGTCTGCTGAGCTAGTCCTTACAGCACACACGTGCACCTGGGCCTGGTTCTTCACTGGTAGGCAGCCTCTGCCACCCCAGGTCATGCCAACTGAGGCCAGTCACCAAACAAGAGCAGTGGAAGCCACAGCTGATTGGGCTCCGTGCCCCTCCCAGCAGAGTGAGCACCAAAGATTCCAGACCAAAAGACCCAGCCACCTTCCTCACAGAGGGGCCCAAGCAGCCAATGTGTTCTCTGTGGTGACTTCATTGTACCCATAGGAGCCTCACTGTGGCCACCCCTTCTCCTTCCTAAGTCTCTGTGTCTAGCAGGAAAGGCCTTAATGTGCCCCTCTCACCACCGCCACACAGCCTGTTGTCAGCTCTGTCCCCACCAACATTACTGCCCCTACTAGCATCCTGGAAGGGGCCTGTCTCCTTTCCCTGAAGCCCTCTCACTCAAGGACCCAGGGACCAGCTAGGTCCGATGGTACACGCATGGCTCTATCTTGTGTCATACCCAGAAGTGTCTCTCCCCACAGAATTCCAGGTGTGACGCAAGTGCCTCAAGTCTTCGCAACCTCACGGGAAGTTTCTTCTCCACCTTGCCAACCCCTGGTGGATGACAAAGGGCAAACTCTGTCCCCAACCTTGGGGATGTGTTCCAGGATCCAAGCACCCACTCCAAAGCCCACAAGGAACCCCTGAGGGTCCTTGGACTAACACAGGCCAGCACTATCTGGGCCTGCCAGAGCCTGTAAGCCTATGAGTCTCTCCCAGGAATGCAAGTAAAACAGGGTTATACTAATCCATCCCCAAGAGACAACATATGTGAAAAAAATAATGTCAGCTACTGAAAGCTGTACAAATACAAATGAAGAGGATTACCGGGTTTTTGTGCTGGCTGACGTTTATTCTCCATAGTATGACTTGAAGTATAAGTAACTGGGAAGGAAGGAGACACTGTGGTTTGCACTTACACTACAGTGCAGATGACTGGTGACAGAGCCCTGCGGAGGGCTGTTGATGACCAGGCTAAAGGCAGAACTAGCAGGTCTCACTGGCACCTGGAGAGCTGGGCAGCAGGACACAAAGGCTAAGCACCGTAGTGGTTTGTCAGAAGCCCGGCCCCCAAGAGGACAGAGCAGTTAAGGTGACTTCTTCTATGAGGGTGGAGCCTGCCAATGGGTGCCTCACTCCACAAGTCTCCTAGACAAGGCTTCTGGTGTCATCTGTAGCCAGTGGGGAGGCAAGAGAGGGGAGAACGGCCACAGTAGACAGGGCCAGCTGGCTTGGGCCTAGGCCCCACCTGTCCTTTTTTTTTTTTTTTTTGCCCAGAGAGACAGATGAAAGTAGGCACCTCGCCCTCCCTGCTCAATCTATCCTCACAGCTCAAGTCTCTTTTTGTTTTGGACAGAGTCTCACTCTGTTGCCCGGGCTAGAGTGCTGTGGTGTCAGCCTAGCTCACAGCAACCTCAAACTCCTGGGCTCAAGCGATCCTCCTGCCTCAGCCTCCCGAGTAGCTGGGACTAGCGCCACCCATGCCTAATTTTTTCTATATATTTTTAGTTGTCCAGTTAATTTATTTCTATTTTTAATAGAGATGGGGTCTCACTTATGCTCAGGCTGGTCTCGAACTCCTGACCTTGAGCAATCCACCCACCTCGGCCTCCCAGACTGCTAGGATTACAGGCGTGAGCCACCGCGCCGGTCCCACCTGTCCTTTACACAGCGTTTTAGGACAGCTCTGCTGAGGGTTTGGCCGCAACTCCTCTCCCACCAGGAGAGGAAGGGGCTTCTGAGCCTGAAACCAGAGTCACTCAGGCCTTGGGCAGCCAGCCCCTCCCTCAGCACCCATGCAGATGCACAGCCATGCCACCCAGCCCCACTTTGATTCAGCCTCCACATGCTCTCTGAGTCAGTCTTCTGGGAAACAACATGGTAAAGATCCATGTTTTGGTGTTTACTTGGTGCTGGGTTGACTTTCAGAGTGTGGTGAGTTTTTCCATTCAGAATGACTTTAGATGAGGGTCCCATTAAGCAAATTTCTTAACCTCTCTAAGAATCAGTTTCGATATTTTGAAATGGAAAAACAAACAACCTATCTTATTGCATTGGTGTGAGGATTAACTGAAATGGCTATAAAGTGCCAGACACAGTAGCTAGCACAGACATTCAATGAGTATCAGTTCCCCTTCCTTCCTCCCCTCATCAATCCGCAGGTCCTACTTTTCTTGTGCAAACTTGACTACCAGGTGCCATCCATCAATCCATCCCTCCATCCATTTATCCATCCACTTGTCCATCCATCCACTCATCTATCCATCCATTATCTCCTCATCCATCCATCCATCATCCATTCATCCATTCATCCATCAACTCATCCATCTATACCTCCACTCATCCATCCCTCTATCCATTTGTCCATCAGTCCCTCCATTCATCCCTTCATCCATCCATTCACTTGTCCGTCCATCCATCCATCCATATATTTATATCATCTATTGACTACCTACTATGCACAAACTGCTGCAAGTTGTCCACAGTAGTAGGTATGGGAACATATAATCTAGAAGCAAAAATTATATATCAAAACCATGATATAAATAACTTGGCAAGAAGTGAAAAGTGTCATTAGAGAGGTACAGAGGAAGTGTTGAGAGATTAAACACTCCCAGGCCCCTCTTTAAGCTTCAGTTGAAGGCAATTCCCAGGATGTTTTATTTGATAAAACATTTCTCATTCCCCAGTGAAGACCACCAGGACATTTTGTTCCTTTTGCACAAGGAAGATGCCTCAAATTCTAATTAGCCTCACCTGGGCAATGACTTTCTTGCCTTTCATTTTACTGCATTAGCTCTAAGCTGCTCCTCTGAGGACAATCCGCAAGCCCAGGTTTCTTCCAAGATTTTAATTGGACCTTCCATGAGGGATTTTGAGGCCCACAAAATGAGCTAAATAAGGAGATGATGGATACATTAGAGATGGACTCCTTGGGCCAGACACTCCCTACACAGCAGCGTGCAGGCGAGTCAGCAGCCCACCTCCACCCCCTCCAAGGCCTCTCCCTGCTCCTGAGTCTTGCCACATTTCAAGTCAACCCCAGGAAGAATGGGGAGGTTGGGGGTGAATATCTCCCAGTGAAAGTGCTTGGTAAGCAGCATAGTTTGCAGCTGATGAAAGAGAAAAATCTCTTACATTTTGTTGTCACATGAGAAACAAGGACCCAGCCACACGCTGAAAGAAAGACTCTCAGGACTCTCCACAGGCCGCCACTCTCCCCTGCAGGAGGAATATGACTCGCAAGATTCCTGCAAAGCTGTTGCTGAGACTAGGCTGCCAGTTGAGTTGTTTGGTGTGGTAGGTGTGAGTTTGGGCAAGCCCCTGCAGCTCTCTTAAACTCCAGAGTGGGGAAATCACCGCCTTGCCTGCATAAAGGGCTCATTTTTAATGCCGGAGTGACAGTGACTGTGACAGTGCTCTCTCTGCAAACCACTCCCAGGAGTGAGAAGGCACAGCGGGAAGCCAGTCCTCCTTCCTTCCACTGGCTCAGCGAACTTGGGCAAATAATTTTCCTTTTCTGAGCTTCCATGCCCTTGTCTGAGAGCATTACAGGTTGTGTGCAGGTGAAATGAGGTTATCCATGCAGAGTGCAGCACAAACTAAGTGCTCAATAGATTTTAGCTCCCTGCTCTGAGACGTTTGCTGTCCACACTCAGCAGAGTTCCCCGTGCCAAGTGCAGGAGGCATAGCGTCTGCCTGGACCCCCAAGCTAGCAGCAACAGAATACTGTTAGGTGCCCATCTTCTCGATGCCTTGGGCTGATTCCCACCGAGAAAACAATCCAGGCTCAGCAGCTTCTGGCTCCTAGAAAATTATTTTTCAAAACCCTTCCTCAATTCAATACACTACCAGCTACAAATTCATGCTCAAATTCAGCATTCCCTTACAAGACTTTAAAATTATTTCCCCAACTCCGGCCTTTGGCAAGCTAATGCCTTAGCACAAAGAGATTATCCTCTTCCCAGGGCCATTGCTAGCTCCTGCAGTGCCTTTTTGTGAAGTAGAACAAGGCACCCCTCTGAGCAGACAGACCGTGTGCACCCAGGCATGCAGTGAAGTGGAGGCTGGCGTGTAGCCCCGCTCAGCCACACGCTGGCTGCCCCCGTGCAAGGCACAGGGCACACTGCGTCCCTGCTCGCCACCATGACCATCCTCATCATGGCAGCAGCTGCGTTCGTTGATGGAGGGCTTGCTAGGAGCCAGACACTGCACTCAGCTTTTCTCGTGCCTTCTCTCCTGGAATCCTCGCAAGTCTCCTGTAAGGAAGTGTGCAGACGTGAGCTGTTTCTCTGAGTCACCCCTTCACTTCTTTGGATGGGGGACTGTTAAAGGCAGTAAGCAGACTACACAGGGGTGCCCTGGCAGTAGGTACAGTGACTACAGTACCACAACAGGGTCTGGCAAGGGGGAAGAGCTATCGGACTCGACTCTAATTACAGCGTGGCAAGTAGGGATTTATAGCCAAGGAGCAGGATGGAGGTCAGTGAATGGAAAATCACTAAGAGGAAACATCAGGGGCAAGGGGAATTCCTGCTAGATGGAGGCAATGGAATTCTGGTTAAGGCTGGCTGGGGGATGCCAAGAGCAGTCAGATGCCAAGGATGGGGACCATTGCTAAACTGACTGGGCAGAATTCTTGCTCAAGTCTACAAGTACAAAGAGGGAAGCTCAAGGTCGGGCCTGGTCAGAAAGGACTCAGAGGAGCCTCACTAAAGTTTTGGTCAAAGGAGAAAATGGTTGCCAATATCCCACACTTCCTCTGGGGAGGAGAGCTGGAGATCAATTCCAATCACCATGGCCAATGATTTAATCAGTTGGGCCTACTTAATGGAACCTCCAAAAAGATCCCTAAAGGATGGGGTTCAGGGAGCTTACAGGTTGGTGAGCACACCAAGGTGCTGGGAGGATGACACACTCCAAGACGGCTCCAGCCCACCCTATGCCCTGTGCATCTCTCCCGTTTGGCTGTTGCTGAGTTTTAACCTTTATATAATAATAAACTGGTAATGGCAAATAAAGCATTTTCCAGAGCTGTATGGGTTGTTCTAGGGAATTATCCAACCTGAGGAGGGCTCGTGAGAATCCCAAATCTGCAGTCAGCCAGGCAGAAATGTGGGTAGCGTGGACACCCCATTTGCAGCTGACGTCTGCAGTGGGGGACGTCTTGTGGGACTCAGCCCTCAACCTACGGGGTTTGGGCTAACTCTGGATAGTTAAGTGTCAAAAGTGGATTGAATTGTTGGATACCCAGTTGGTGTCAGAGGGCAAGAGAGCAGCTTAAATCAAAAGGTAATTGGAAGACCTGGTGAAACCCAGAGGTGAAGCTGGCCTTAGAAACTCCAGGGACTCCAACAGTGTGGTCAGCTTACTTTTGCTGGATCTTGCACCTTTCCCCCACCAACAGCCACCAACACAGAACGCTCTCCTCTCTCTGTATGTTGACCTAACTCTTTCCTGCTGCTGACAGGCCCCCTAGGATGGGTGGTGGGACGTGGGCAGATAAACAGAGGTGGGGTATGCCCACAAACAGTTCCAGCAACATCCAAGTTTAACAATCAGGGAGGGAGGAGAGCTTCTTGTTCCCAGAATCTAAACATAAACTCTGACAGTGCAGCTTGGGTCACTGGCTCATCTCTGTGGCCAGGACAATGGCCCCTTCAGAACTGCACAGAGGGGCCCTAACAGGAAAGATTGGGAGGGGGTGGTGAACAAACAAGAGGAGATGTCTCACTGTCAAAGCAGATTAGAGTTTGTGGAAGGTTTAGTAGTGGTCACCGGTCCAGCCTGCTCCAGACACCTCTGTTCTTGCAGTGCCACTTCATACCACCTGTGTGGCCTTGGGTCCTGGGTTTCCTCACATCTAAATCAAGGGTTTGAACTTGATATGGTGGTTTGAAGCCCATCACAGCTCTGATCATCCAAGGACTGCCACCAGCACATGAAATGAAGGCCTCCTGGGGAAGGGGCCCCTGCACAGCTGGAGCCTCAGCTGTGCAGGAGATGGTGCTAGGGTGGCTGAAGCTGGGGCCAAAGGCAGGCGGGGAAAGGGCTAAACCAGGAGAAGCGGGGATAAGGCCAAGCAGAGCCAAAGATCAGGAAGCAGCTGGGCAGAGGTATAATTGGAAGATCAAATTGCATGTGGGTGAGTAGTAGGCCAGGAAGAA